CCATCCCTTGCAGTGCTCAAGATCAGGTTAGACAGAGCCTTGGGTGAGATGGTTTAGTGTGAGGTGTCCCTGCCCATGGCAGGGGGGGTTGGAACTTGATGATCTTAAGGTCCTTTCCAACCCTAACTATTCCGTGATTCTATGCAATTAAATTGAGATCTTTATCTCCCCTGATGATAATGAAAGCTTAGTTGACCTGTAATCATCTACAAGTAGACATTTAGCATGAAATCCCTGAAGCTGAAACACACAGGTCTCAGCTCTCACCTCTAGGTCTAGTGCCATTTGAAATGTCTACCTGACCTCCAGCCACCAGGTCTCTTCTAGGTTTTCCATTATATCTGACAGCCCCATGAAGATGTTCCAGTCCCTTGAGGGATCTTAAGTGGCAGTAGACACCAAGTTCAAGCAACTGAATCAAGCCTCCTCCATCTAGACCTTCACTTACTTCTGCAAATACCCTGATCACTGTCCAGAGAAAAACACCGCATCTGGTAGCCTGGTACTGCTCATGCATGTAGAAGGAAAAGGAACTGTTACAGCTTAAAAGAATTTGGTTTTGACACAGGAGATGTGAGCATCAAAAATCAATGAAGACAAAATCATGTATATAGGCAAAATTTAGTTCTTAATATACATGTAAAAACTATGCTGGGTAGCTAACAGAACACCTTGAAGTGTGGCTACACAGTTGTCTACAAATAACAACGAAAAACCACACAATTAGAATCTTTAAAAAGCATTTAAAACACAATTGCTGAATAAACTGCATGCCTAAATCTAACATTATTTAAACATTTCATATTAGCCGGGCAGTTACTGGATAAAAGTAACAAACAGTCTTTGGCATTTGGACAGGCCCCAGAGTTGATCCCTCCCTCCTAAAGCCCTAACCAAGAACTTGTAGAGACAAATTCATGTTAATATTCTCCAGCTACAATAGTGAAATATTAGTTTCTATATGGTGAACCAGTTTCTGAGATACAATTACCCAGACGCCTTGTAAGTTTTTGTATGTAAATTGTGTAGGGAAACTACATATGTAAGCTGTGCGGTTTTGGCTTGCAGTCCTGGAAGAAAGAAGGTATAGTGCTGAGCTCTCAAAGCACAAGGTGAGCCTGAAACTGGGCATCTCAATTGCTACTTGTGTATATGAATTACTCATGTATTTCTTGAAAAGAGGAATAGCAGCTCAGTAACTCTTTTCTCTTCTGCTGGGTTTAAAAGAAATAACAACCAGTACCTGATTTACAGAAAGGGTGTTCAGACACCAGCCTTCAAAGGAGAGCTGTGAGGCAGTGAATCTCCAGTGGAGTATGGGAATTGTAAAAATACAATAATAGTTGTATTAATACAAATCCTCTTTGTTTCCCTCTTAGACTGGCCTGGATGGTGTGCTGAGTTTCCTGGGCCTCACTCTAATTTTAAACATGCAGCTCCAGCATCTCATGTTTCTTTTTTGAGGACAAAAAAAAATGTAGGCATTGCATTGCTTGTTGTTTTGATGCCTAAACTCACTTTTGGTATTTAGCCTCACACATTTTCTTTACTACTTATCTCTAAATACTTTTTGTCGCACAAATTGTAAATTATCTGTTTAGGCATTTCTTTTTTAATTAAGCTTTATAATAGGCTGCATCGCATGTAACATGGCCTTTGAAAGCAGAGGTTATTGATGGAACAGTCATTCAGATATGATGAGCTGATTAAATGAAAACAGGCAACATGGACAAATCTAGCATAAACGTAACCATCATTTTACCACATACAGTGTCAGGCAGCAGCAAGAAGGGGCTGCTCTGTAAACTGGGCTGAGCTGGGAGCTGGTGGGGACAGTGAGGATAGTAAGGCAGTGCCCTCCCTGACACAGCCCTGTGTCACAGCACCTTAACCAGAACAGCAAAACAGGTCTGGTGACGGTGATCACATTCAGCCATGAGTCCAGATCACCAGACCAGTCCATACTGATGAGACAGGTTGAGCCTGAGGTCATGCTCAGGATAGGTGGGTTCATGGCCAGGCGCGGACATGCTGTCCACACAGCTGCAGCAAGAAGTAGGGGCAGCAGCTGGGACTCAAACACAGCTCCCAAGCCCAGAGGACAAGGCTGCCACTGAGGTGCCTTGCAGCTCTGTCCCACCCAGCTCTTCTCTCAGCTGTCTCATCCAAGATCACAGCAGAACCAGCCTTAAGTGCAGCCAGCCACACTACTGGGAAAAAGTGGCTGCAGTATCTCTGCAGCGTCCTGACACTGTGACACAGAAATAAGCTCGCTAGTGCAAGCGTAAAGTTAACTCAGGGGACATGACAGCAGCACTTGCAGATGAGGCACTTTAGATGTTAAAGCTGTGAGCTTGGACTTCCTGATGTCAAAAGAGGGTAAACCCCAGATCTCCTTTTGTTGCTTTTGTTGCATAGTATGAACCAAAGGGCTCACATGGCCACCCTGAGCCCTTTGGTTGTGTTTTAAAAGAAAACTTCTGGTAGTTCTCTCCAAGCAGAGGTGTTGGTACCTGTCTTCACCCTGAGGATCCAGAGCCTGGCTCTGGACCAGACAATCACTCCTGCCTTGCATTCTTTGATTACTGAATGGTAACACTCGTGGTGGAGGTGGACAAAAGGAGGAATTAAAATATACCACAGTCTTTCCTATTTGCTAATTTATTTTTAATTAGTTTTTGTCTCTCCCACAGAGTTGAATCTGGAGTGCCTAGAATCGGACATTGATACCCTATACATCTTTTTGGGATCTGAGCTTCACCATAGTGTACAGTGCTTTCTGTTCTGGGGGGTTCCTTACTATAGTCCTTACTAGGGACAAGGATCTGGATTTTAATTTACCCCCCATCAGGTTTTTCCTAAATATTATAACACTGGAAAGACTAATTTCTTCCACAGATATATACTGGTAATTATCCTTTTCCTTCTCCATTCAGCTAATTCATATGGCTTGACTATCCTTCAGCAATGCTGAAAACTTCTGCAGGAGGCAGGGAGGAGTTGCTGTTCAGGTTCTTTGCTACCTCCCCGACTGGAACAGGCTGCTGCTCTGTCACCAGCTGACCTTTGCCTTAAAGACTGGTGCACTTTGCAAAGGTGCAACAGGTCTAGTCCTCTGTAATTTGATTTTTGTTTTCCATGGAAAGGCTGGTTTGTTTGCTTTGCACTTAAGGCCCATGGTTTATTCAGGACTGTAAACTCTTCAAAATCACATATAAGTAAATATGTGGAAAACAAACAATGCTGAAAATTACTCTGGTCAAAAGTGAGGGACTACTTTTGTTCGAGGGACAGCAGAAAAATGTATTTTCTACCCTCCAAATATCTTCTATGAGACTATAAAAACCTTATTTTGTAAAAAAAAGTTAAATGTCTGTGTCTAAAAGAGTACTGTGCCTGACTTTCCGCTTCAGGCTGCTGTGAACGATATCAGAGGATAATGTGGTCAGTGTGTAAGCTGAAAGTCCCAGATTAAATTTTATTATTGTAAATTGCTTAAAACTGGAAATGTTGAATTATAAAACTGTGTTAGGTAAATGGCACAACATTAAAGAAATTAATTCCATAGTTTAGAGCTTCCTGTCTTGAGTCTCCTGACACAGTCCTGATGTCCTTACTCATTTCGTTACTCCTGATTCATCAAAGCACTTAAATGCTCTAGATTTCAAAGAGATTCAAGCATATGCTTGTTGATTCAGCACTTTAATCAGAGAAAATCCTCACTAAATTCAGTAGGAAGTTTTGCCCTAAAAGACCTAAAGTTTAGCTCTTTTTTTTTTTTTTTTTTAATCTTGTATTTGAGTCTGCATAACTTGAAATGGAGAATTTATATGTTTGGTAGTTGTCACTAAGCATCGCTACCTGCCCAAACCAGTTCTTTCACTTTGGCTATTTAATGTCTGGCTAGTAATATTTGTGGCAAGAGGAATTTAACAGATGGGGTAGTGCTGGAGTAGGTGGAGACATGCTAAGAATAAGGTTATAATAACGTGTTTCAGATCGTATTTAAGTGCTAAAAGAAAACACACACTTTTTCTTTATCCCCCTTTTGAACTTTCTCTACCATTTAAACATCTTGAAGTACAGCATGTCTTTATTTTCTATAATTTATTAGTTGGAAATAAAATTTTAGTGAAAAAAAAATTACGGAAACACACGGGAAACACTTGGAGAAAACAGAATGGAGAATATACAGGACTATCCTGTATCTTCTTAGTCACCGAGCTGCTCCAGAATTACTTCGTCTGCTGAACTGCAGCCCACTGGTGTAAGCACTCTTAGAAAATTTAGTGACTATGTAGTGAGCAATGAGTTTTACTGAAATTATGCTAAAACGGGGTTTCTCAACAGGCTTATGATAACTATTTCTTCTGGAGTCTTTTGATACAAGCCTGTTTGACTAACATGTCTTACAAGTTAAATCTGTAGGACATCTTTTAGAGGCTGATGAGGCAAGGAAGTGCACATTCGCAGTTTCGGCTTTGCTCCCTGCTGTTACGGCACACTGCACCTTTCCCTCTGCTTTCTAATGAAATAGGATGTGATTCAGCTGAATTTTATTTTTTTTTAATTGGAAACGTACAAAGCCACTGCTAAACTTCTTAGAAACGGGGCAGCAGACTAGCGGGAAAATGACATTTTTGGAGATGTGCAGCAAACAGAGAGCTGTTTTTGGAGGGTGGTGGATTGCTAAAGGGTATAACGTGAGATGTGCAGCAGTTTTCAACTCTCACTGCTTTCCCTGCAAAGGGTAGGAAATTCCCCAAATTTTGCAAGGTGTCTCTTGCTTTACTGGACTTTTAAAAATAACTTCCTCAAGTAACGACATACTTTCCTTAATTTTCCACTGAGAAGAGTTTGAAAGCATGGCCTTGCTATTCCCAAAGAGCCCAACACCCTGGGAAGCGAGCAGCAGCCCTGACTCATTGGAGCTTCATAATTCATAACTGTGCTTTTTATAATTCGGTTTGGCATTGTGCTGTCAGGGGTGGTGTTGATTAAGCTGGCATTGGCAGTCCCTCCTTTTGCATGCTGCTCTGCTAGGCTCTCCTTTGGCAAACCTGAGTTTTCCCGGTGCATAGGCAGGAGCAGAGGGAAGGGGACTGCTGTTTAATTAGAGGGTTTATAGCAGTGATTGAATTAATCCTCTCCGAACGAGGAGCGGCCGAGCGCGGACTCGGCGGCCGGCGGAACGCTTGTGAGGGGCCCGAGCGCGCGGCGGGAGCGGGCCGGAGCGCACCGCCTGAGCGGCTCCGTATCCATGGCAACCGCCGGGCCGCCGCCGGCACTGGAAGATGTCTGCCGGGGATCGGCGCTGCGCCGCGGGCTTCGCGTTCCGCCCCCTGCCCCAGAAAGCTTTCCCCTGCCTGGAGGACAAGGACATCCGGGACCGGCTCCACAAATGGTGGGAGGGGGAAAGCCTTCTGCGAGAGGCGCCTTGCTGGGGAGCCGCGGGAGGCGGGCGGTGCTGAGGGCTGGGGCCGTCACCGCGCCCTCAGGGCGCCCGCTCTGGTGGCGGCGGGCCAGGGTCTCTCCTGTTTCCCTCTTCGCCGCCTTAAATTGGAATTTTCCTCAGTATTTTTCAGGCACGTAAACTGCCTGGCCCTTGTCTTCCAGAGCTAGCCAAGATGTACCTCAGCTTCGCAGCGCAGCAGCTGGGCTTTCCCCGCCTCTCCAAGGAGGGGCGGGAGCCGGTTGTAAGTGAGAAGGGCAAAAAATGAAAAGTAAAAAAGTATAATTATTGGTCAGAATAGTATTTTATGTAGTGTACTTACGGAAATTTACAGAGTGGGTTAGTACCTATTATGTCTGCAGAATTTTTAATCTCATTTTACCGTTTCAGGTCTATGCAAGGCAGGATCACAGCACAAGCGTTTGGTTTTGACCAGCAGTTTAAACCCTATCAAAAGGATGAATTTGTTACGGTAGTTCTAAGTTTTTTATATTTTAGGTTGACTTTTTTTTCCCCATGAAATTATAGCCATTGGAAAGCTGAGTAACAGCAAATATTATAGCAGTGTTAGCACGCTATTCACTTTCTCACTGTCTCCTTAAAAGTAGGTGATTTAGGTGTGGTCCTCAAGACTTACTTTGTCGGTTAAATGTATTGTCCAGTCTAAATATTTTAGTCTGTACTAATATTACTCTGTTTTAAGAGGAAAGAATTTAGTAATTCAAGATTCCCAAGAATGGGGTTCTGAACTGAATGCTGATCTTGGCCACTGCATTTAATGTTGGGAAGTCCACCCATGGAGAGACTTTAAACAGTGTACATGCAGTTGGCACCTTGCTCACAGCTATTACTGCTTTGTCACAGTAAATACACTGTGCAAATAGATGTGCATATGCAGCACATTTATGAAAATGCAAGAGTTTAAAGTTTATTTGATACCATCGCTTTACACTGGAATTTTGGGCTTTCAGCTTTCTGGGACTCAAGTCTTTTCCTGATTTTGTATCCTCCACTTTTGTTTTCTGCAAAGTCAAATGCGTTCATATGTTTGCAGACAGAAAAAAATAACAGTCTGTGTTTTTTAAAAAAACATGTTTTTAACATACGTTGTTTTAAAAACAACTCTTTGATTTGTTGTACACCTACTTTATATTATCCTGGATAAAGAATCCAGCCTTTTTCTATTTTAAAGACATTCACACAGAAGTACACCAATATTTCATCTCCCACTGCTAAACATTTCAAATGATTGAAGTTTACAAAATTTACCTTCTCAATGCTTGTCTCTTTTTGAATTAAAAATAGTAAAAATATCACTATGAAGTGATGAACTCTGAGTAGCTGTGAATTAATTGAGAACAGAGGGACCATTACATTATATAGTCTGACCTCTGTATTACACAGAGGTGGTAAAGAGATTTGGTGTTGCAGAGACTGAAAAATTAAGCATTTTCTTAGCAGCTTCTTCAATAATTATTTACTCTGCTTGTATGCATATATATATGTATGGGTTTTCTTAATCGGCTTATCTATCATTTAAACTTGTCAGCCACCAATATTACTATGTATGTCTCATTTTTTTTAATTGATAAATCATTAAGATTGAATACTTCAAATCTTACTGTGGAACATATTCTCCATTCAATAACTTATGGATTTTTTTCTGCATCTGTTTAATAATTTTTGTGTGTCTCTACAGTTCTCCAAGCTTCAAATTTATTCACAAAATGTAAATTTAACAATCATATTTCGGTGGTTGTTTTTTTTTTTTTTACTTCAACAACATTGAATGCAGAGATAGAAATTTGTCATATTTTCTTCAATTTTCTGTACCTCTAAGGATTTCATGCAAACTCTTTGTGTGTTGTTGGACTGAAAGTGCTTTACTGTAAATACTGCATATAAAAATACATGAAGATATCTTGGATATGTAAAAGACACTGGCTACACAAAGTTACAAACCCATGTATTTGGTAGTGTGATATTTAGTATCCAAACTGAAAGATCATACAGAATCTACTTACTAATTGGATCCTTATAATTTGCTTTGAAAGTATCCAAGTCATTATAAATGATGAATTTATGTTTCATTTCATTAACTTGGACTCTCTTATTTGAAAATTACAGGCATTTTTTAATGATCAAAATGTGAACTCTAGCTTGAAGTTACTCTCAGCTTCAGGACAATGGACTACACTGGGTAAATTTAGAATAAATTAATCTTAAATAAAAAAGTCTGTGTTGTAACTATTCTTCTCTAACTTGCCATTTGTAATAATGACAGTTCTTATATGTGTATCTTTACCTCGTTGAAATATTTTAAAGAATGACTTCCACTAAAAAATAAGAAAATATTCTTACCTAGTTTGTTACTAAATTATCAGATGTTACACTTTTTTTCTTGACCTCTGCATCAATCCATAAACCAAGCTACTAGAATTTATTTTAATTAGTTTGTGTCATCCAGCTGACCCAAACATATATCCAGAGATAATCAACTGCAGTAATTGTGGAATTATATTGCTATCTTATTCAGATAATATTTGGACAAAGACGCTCTTCTATAGAAGAGAGATCTGAAATTATTGCTCTGTTTCAAACTGAAGTGGAAAGAGAAGATTAGATAGAGCGCACTGCTGAGCTTGTGTAACTATGCTATCTGCACAAGAGTGTTCCAGGTGGGAAGAGCCCTGTCATAGGTTACTTTAGTTGCAATCACGGTGTAAAGTTGACTTCTAGTTTGTTGCCATATCATTAACTGCTTGAATATGTCTGTAGATGGAGATGAGACACTAAAGGAAAATGACTAAAAGCAAACAGCACATGATTTTGTGGCACTACTTTGAAATTGTATTTTTGATTATGTAAATGAAACACACTTTCATGGAAATTGCTTGTTATATTGTAATGGAATTTATGCATAATGTGAATTCTGGTGATTTTCTTTAATAGGCATATATTGAAAGAGCATAGTGGGAAGTCCTCAGTTCTTTTCATTTGTCTGCAAAATACTGTGTGTAAATATTTAATGAACTTTGGGAGTTTTCTACCTTTTCCATTTCAGTTCTCTGGAATTGGCATAGGTTTTCTCCTGTATATACAGCAAAAATCCATTTTCCAAATATGGTATATGGTCATTAAAACAATTGAAATATGTAAGATGCAAAATATATCTCAAGTCAAGTCCAATGTCAGGTATCTCTTTTACATTCTGGCAAGCAGAAATAAAATAAATGTATTTCAAACTATGGGTAAACCTTTTGCTGCTTTAGGCAGGAATTTATTTAGGCTATCTGTCTAGCCTAGGACTTGCCAGTCCCTGTAAGTGCAGGTCAGTAGGTTACATACCTTGCGTGAAGAGCAGAGGGTCACTTGCCAAGTATCTCAGCTCAGCTCCTGATTCTGCTCAATCTTCCGCAGCACAGAAGTAATACATTTTGTTCTGAAGACTGGAAGGGTTCCCTTCCTAAATCCTGAACAGCTGGTATACCCCATTTGCTCTTAAAATTTCATCTTCCCATTCTTTGCCTATTTTTGGTGAGGAATGTTGGCACATTTTTCTATACTTAGTCTTCATGTGCATTTTTTGAAAATATAGTAAGAATTAGCTTTGAGTGGGAAGAGGTAAAAGATCATCTTCTAGTATTTTCTTCTTCAGACATGCTTGTATATTAATCCAAATACGCTATTATTTACAACTGTACAGTAACTCTTTTATCCTGTTCTTGAAAGAAAATACTAGAAATGGGATTATTTTACTTTTCAGAAAATATGAAGAAAATTACATAATCTAGATTGATACAAATATTTGCAAACAAAAATGCTAGGTTTTTTTTTTTTTTTTTTTTCAGGGGGAAGATATTTTGGATGCATAATTTAAGTAGGATTTAGATAGGTTCTTAGAAAACTCCATTCTCACTATGAGTTTGGGCAGAAAGTATTTATGGACCCACAGAAAGATGTCAACATTATATAAAACATCAAAATAATATTATTTTATGAGAGTGTGTGTTTTCATAATCTTTTTGTCTTTTCCAGTCTGTGGCTCCCTTTTACCTTCTCACTAAGAATTTGGTTTTATTTTTCTTTTTAATTCAGTGGCATGGTTTCACTTTCATTTTTATTTCTACCTCTTCTCTGTTACTTGTCTATCTCCTTTTCCTAAAAGTTCTTTATTACTTTTTTACCCTATGTCTAATCTCATTTTTTATTTCTTTTGGCTGCTTTTTATCGTCACCTTTGTATTAGCAGACCATAATATCCTCAATCTCCGTTAGGTTAAAAGGTTGCATAGAATGTGGTGTCTCCCCTTAAGGAATGCAACATATATCTCCGTTCTCAGCTGCCCCATGTGTTGGGATTCCTGGTGAAATCCCACAATAGTACATTGTCTCAAGGACTCCAGCTTTAACGCTACTTGAAATACAACATTTTAGGTAAACAATACACAAAGATATTCTCTAGTGTACTTCATCTGATCAACAGATTCTTAATGACCTATTCTCATACCACACTTTTTTGCCTCTTGTAGTAGTGATATTTTTTCCTCTCCTCCTGACTGCTTGGTAAAGTACCTGATAGTTCTGCCATGGGCTTTAAAAGCCCCCACCACACTCCCTTCATCTATTACTCTCCTATGTAAAAAACAGAAGCAGCAAAAGGAACAAATTTGATGAATACCAACTTATCTCTTGAGATTTGTATTTTTAAATAGCTGCAATGAAAACTTGTGGTTTTTCCTTGGACACATTACTGGCCTTGCACCTGTCAGCAGTCTTGGGGAGGCAGGACTGTATCTGCTTAAGCTCAATTAACACTTGAAAAGATATCTTCAAAGGGATAGGGTTACTGTCTTTCTGTTCAAATAAAACTTAGTGTTTGCCTAAGAAGGATTCTTGAGCTGCCATATGTACTTGAAGTTCTAACGATTGCTGTCTTTGGAATGGGGTTTTAAAATCTGGACGATAAATCAGCAGTTTTTTAGACTACTGTTATAGGTTATAATTCACAAAAATTTTATTTGTCATTTGAACTTATAAATCAGCAACCTGCACCTTTTAATATTGAAATACCATTTCTTTAGTGCAGAGCACTGAATGTACATTATGTATGTTTTATATAAACTGTTTCGTAAATAATAAATTACAAGATGTTTCCCTGAGGTAAAAATCTTTCTTAAACTTTAGAGGAATTCTAAATATACCTAATTGGGGTTTTATCTGCCACATACTAGATATGCAACGTGTTCATTTAAAAGTATACTGGAGGCATAGGTAGTCCAGAGCTAGCTGTTATAAGAAGCTTAAACTGCTTCTTTTCAGCTTTGTTTTCCACTTGCAGAGTTCTCAAGGCATTTCTTCTTCCTATTTTATTGCTTGCTTTTACAGTATTATTAAAACGGGTTACTCTCCTCCAGGAAATTCTGAATCTGCAGTTTCAAATCTCACCTCTCAAATGGAGACTATTCTCCATTGTGTATTCCAGTGTATTTAAACCTTTCCATTTATAGTTTGTTTTTCTGAACTACTGAATAGATTACAAGGTTCTCGATTTTTTTTTTCCTGATGAAAGTTTTTATAAAATCTTGTTTCAAAGCACAGGTGTGTCTCCTTTCCTCCCCCTCACCCAGTAAAATCCTAACAATTTGAAGGCATCTGAATAGCTCAGTTTCTTATACTTTGAGCTCAATAACTGGGAAAATGTAAGATGTCTCTGTTTTTCTTAGGTTATTTAACATCCGATTTTTATTAGCCTTGACTCATGAAGTTTTTGATCCATAGGTCTTTACCAAATAATTTCTATGTTGGAGGCTGATTTGGCTCTTATTAAATCTCTTATAAAATAAAAATCCTATCCCTGTGAAAGAAAGCTGGAGAAATGGAAGTTAGAAGAGTCTGAAAGTGGGGGGGGTTGGAGGAAGCACAAATCAATCAATCAATCAATAGCAGTTTGTTTTTTTCTTAGGCTGTGAGGCTGCATGCCATGTTTTTTTTCTGACTTGTGATGTTGGTTACATAATTTGATTATTTTTTGATAGTCACTATATGGACAGGTAGGACAATGTTCTAAATCTTTTTTCTTTAATAAATGGTACCCTTTTTCATAGTCATACCTGCAGATGTGAAGACAGGCCATCAGATGCCAAGTGAATCTGTAGCAAATCTCTGTATGAATTTTCTTTACATCACATTGGCCCAGTAAAATAATTATGAAGTTTCTTGACAGTATTTTTAGCTTAAGCAGACACATATTCAAGCCATCAGTTTGTAACTTCTTTGTAATTATTTTCTTAGTGTTGCTGAGGCAGATGGTACAGGTTACCTGGTCTTAGATACCAAAATGCTAGCCCTACTTAACCTATGAATAAACAGTCTCCATGTGATAATGTATGGGAGAAATCCCAGAGAGGTTTTTTGGGGGGGAAGAGAAATTTATTATGCTACACTTACAAAGACTAGGATGAGAATGAAATGACATTCTGGGAAGCATCATCTCTTTTTTGGCATGTTTCTGTTCCTGAAATAGTGCCATCAAGGGTGAAATTGAACACTTCCTGAACACTAATCTTTAGTGTTCCTTTAGTGATCCTATAGATCAGTTTGTCAGGACACCTAATTTTATTTTTAACTGTATGGTCAAAAGCCTTTTGATATTGTGATGTTGGTGACTGGACTCCCATTAAGGGAACCTGCAGTGGAGAAAAGTCATGGAAAGATGTAATGCTGTGAATATTATCGCTGCTGAGGCACATTGCCCTTGTGTTGCATGCTCACCTGTGTTCATGCTCTCCTGTGCTCCCCTCTGCTGTCCAAAAGCACTTCGAAGGGTGTTCAGGGGGACTTGGAGATGAGCAGAGAATGTGTCTGAACACATTTGGTCTGAACACTTGGACCAGTTGAGATCAGATGGAACTGGACTGAGTCCAAAGCTTCCTAAACATGGAATCAAACGCTATTTGAGATGCCATAAGTTATCCAACGCCACACATACAGATTGTAGATGTAACACTGTATATAAAGAAGATATGTGCCCTTATGGGCTAATACCTCACTAAGAAAAATACTGTAGGGTATCTCAAATCCCACTAGATGTTTATGAACAACAGATCAAGCCTCAGATCACTTGCAAGCACAGAATACAGAAAAATGATAGAAAAAGGTACTCAGCACTTAATGAGTACAGAGATAATCCTCCAGATTCATACAAAAGGTGCTGATAATACCTTTTTCATCTTCTGAAACAGCTGGTTAGTGAAGCTTACAGTAGCTACAGCATAACTTTTAAGAAGTTCAGATATAACACTTAACAAACCAAAAATTCATCAAGGCTGTGTTCACTTTGGGTTTTACTTTGTGGGGTGCTGTTAGCAGCTATTGACTTTTATACTGCATCAGGCTGAATTTGGTATTTGTCCTCAAATTCTTTAAGGCTTAAACTGTGGAATGTGATTTTCTAAGGGTGTGATCTAACATGCTGTTGAGTTCACACGGTGTTTCATCTCTCTCTTGTTCCGGCTGATAGTATTACCAACAGGGGGAGCAGACACATGAGCCTTAATGGAAAGTATCATTCAGATGAATTTAATGTTTTCTTTACGCTTGTTTCTTTCTTAGCTTGCTTTGTTTTCTCAGGGACTCTGTGATTGAGTCATACTTCTGTGATCTCTACTTTGTTTACAGAATATCCCATGCACAAGTTGGTTATTTCCACACTGTATCAAATTACTGGAAAACCATTAGTACATGGAAATTCTCCCATTTTAATTATTGCAAGAGACTTGGAGTGAAGCCTTCCTATATATTGCAGGTTCCAAAGTAACAAAAATTGAAGCTACACTGGTGCCCTGTACAGAGATTTCCATGTCATTTTTTGATCGGCTCTACTCTGAAGGAATTGTTAGAGAAACTGGAGATATTGTAAAATGTTTTGATGACTATTACAATGATATTCTTATCTCTGATGAATTAAGAAAGGTCAGTATAGCAATGAATAATTTCTTACCATTTTTCATATTCTATTAGGTACTAGAAGGACACATTTTTTCAGTGGTTTGTTTTCTTTTTCTGGCAATACGTATTTTCCATGGTAAAAATGGGCATTGAAATGAGTAAGGCATTGCAGTGCCTGAATGTGTGAAAGCACTGCTGGTTTCCAGGTGGACCCTTTTTCCTTTTTAGGTGGGACAAAAAGGTAAAACCCTCTTCTGCCTGCCCTTGTCTCAAGTAGTCAGTGCTTAGTGGGGTGTGTGGGGGAAATGCAGCTATTCATTTCCCTAGGAGGGGAAAACAAGTGGTGCCAATGGAAAGGTTCTTTGATACCCAGAATTGTGGGGTCATCCAACCTTCCAGGTAGTAGATGAAATTGAATGTACTTGACTGATAGCTACATCCAGAAGCATTCCTCGTCAGGAATGCTGATCATATTGTATGTGAAGGCATTTAAGGAAAGTCATCTTCATGTCTTTTCCCTGAAACAAAGGAGAGAAAATCATGAGAAGGGAAACTTTTTCAGTGCACACTTGAAAAGGACTAAATATAACTCCTGAACAGGCCTGCAAGGTAAATCCTGTTTGTTATACTCCAGTGGAGGTGTCAGAGAGCAGATTATTCTGAAAAAGAATCTCTCTCTCTCAGTGGCACCTTCTTAATCAATGTGTGTCTTCCCTGTGTTTCTTTTTACTTCGTAAGTAAAACTTTTTTTTTAATGTTTGTTTAGCATTAGCAAAGCATAGTGTGGGAGAACTGGATTTTGCTCTTCCTTGTATATATAATCTACATAAGCACCTAATAATTATAGAGTTGCACTCATTTGCACTCGGCAAATCCTTTGAAGGCAATGTATTTGAACCAGTGACACTGGTTACAGGATGTGACCTGAAATACTGGTCTGTCTTGTAAAGTTCTGGGAAAAGGAGAGAACTCAAGCTCATGTTTGAATTTCAGATATGGTTTGTATCCTAGCAGTTCAAAATACTAAGTATTTATTTGTAAGTTGGGTACATGTGAAATGTCTCTTGAAAATTAAGTGCATTGGATGTAGAAAAGTTAGAGGCAACATTTAAAATAAGAAATAATTGGAGTTTCAGTCTCTTTCCATTTTCCTTCCCTTGGAACCAATGTGTGTTTCTGCATTTGCAAGTTGAAGGATTCACATTTATTTGAAATAAATGTGATTCCTACTTGTAAGACCTAGATGGCAGGAAGAATTAAGAGTCAAAATCTTCCAGTAATGAAACTTCAGTCAAAACCTGACATTGACTCAGCCAGCGCCGTGGGAGGGCAGACTGTAGGGGGCAGAAACTGTCTGCTGATGTCAGGGTGGCCCTCTGCTGCAGAACTCCATATTTCTTTCCTACCTGCCATGTCTTCTCTTGCTTCAAACCAAGAAGCAGGGTTGGGATACCTATGAAGTTGCCATCAGCAGCAGTTTCTGCCCTGACCCCTTTTAACTCAGGTTGTGCAGTGATGTTATAAAGACAGCCAGAGAGCAGTGAGCTCATGTCTGGCTTTCACCTGATTGCCTGGGCTGGCATCTGCAGTTTAGCTGATGTTACTAGAAGGCCTTTTAACCACACTAAGTTACAATTCCTGTCCACCCTTACCAGGGTGTGCAGTTGGGGCTAATCTAGCACATCTTCTATGTTCACATAATATTGCAGCAAAAGCCAGGCGAGACACATAGAGGCAGCTGGATTGTATGTCGGGTTAATCCAGGCTGCAGATAAAGGCTCACTAGAGTCTGTACTAAAGAATGGTGCAAGTCTGAGTGATCCCCCCTGAGAGATCCTTGTGATTCCTTTACAAATGTGAGATAACTGTGTAAACTTAGAGTAAAAAAGCAAAAGTAGGCAAAGTTATCAAAGACAAACTAAATGGCAGTAACTGACATGCCAAATCTTCTTTGCCCAAGGAAGTGGTAAATGCTCCCATCCCTGACAGTGTTCAAGGCCAGATTGGACAGAGCCTTGGATGACCTGGTTTAGGGTGAAGTGTCCCTGCCTATGTCATTGGGGTTGGCACTATATGATCTTAAGGTCCTTTCCAACCCACACCATGCTATGAAATACAGGTAGTTCATTTTCAGATTGCTGACTTTTGTTAGCATGATGAGTAACAAAGCAGTGAAAAACAGCACTTGAAAAAAATCTCCCCTTAGGTCTTGTGGGCACACATCTGGCAGTGATTCTGCTTTATATTATCTGTAAATTTTGGACATAACTGCATCATTGGAAGAAGATTTTAGACAGGAGTACTTATTGCCACCTCTATTGCATTTATTTTATATGGACATAAACTCTGTGACACACAGCAAAGTAGTTGCATTGTTCATATACTTAATCTCAAATAAGAAATTTTCATCTACTTGACCTCCTTGTTATTTTCTTGTTCCACAAGGTCTTGCTTCTGGAAGATTCAGACCATTATGACATATTCAATCCATTGGATCGCCAGGAATTTCTGTTCTGTCTTTTTAAGCACCTTTGCATTGGAGGAACTCTTTGCCAGTTTGAAGATGTAGTTGGCCCATACTTAGAAACTACAAAAGCATTTTATAAAGACTTAGTTAGGTAAGTGTCTCTGTGTTATACCATTGCATATGTATGCGCTGCATGCATATGCATACACATAGATACTTTGTGTCAATTTGTGTAAATTCATTTGCATTACTGCTTCAGGAATGGGGCTGTTATTTAATCAATCTGCAACCTTATTCATCTTCAACTATCAAAACAATGTGTAACAGTGGTTGTAGTTCAGTGCCAAAATCTATGCCATTTTAATGGCATCTGTCCCACATAAAACCTTTTCTTATATATATTGACATTGATGTTTTATAATTCAATCCTATTTCAAGGATTTTTGTTTCTGTAATTATCTATTGAAAACACAGCATGGCACTGGAACCAGACTGTGTTCCTACTGTCACTGATAAATATCAACAATTAAGTCTTGGATGTATAGTCTTGGGCTACATTCAAGCTGCTTTTGTCTTAGGATTTAAAAATTGAGATGCTTCAGTCAAAATTTTAAGTTTTCTATATATTTTATTCCAACTGATTATTATTTTTTTTTAATGCATTTGGCTTTTGGTATTCTTTATTCCACAAATACACTTCTTGCAGCATAAAGCTAAGGGTGATAGAATCATAGAATGGTTTGGGTTGGAAGGCACCTTAAAGGTCATCTAGTTCCTTGCACTGCTATGGGCAGGGACACGTTCCACTAGACCAGGATGCTCAAAGCCCCATCCAACCTGGCCTTGAACACTGCCAAGGATGGGGCAGCCAGAGCTTCTCTGGGCAACCTGTCCAGTGTCTCATTACTCTCCCTAGCTGTTAACATGACACAGTGGACTTGAGTTACACACATCTTTTTGGCAGGTCTGGTATATAGAATTATTTCGAATTTTATGATTTTTTTTTTAATTGAGATTAGAGATGATTGATCACAGGTTCAAATTTGGGGGAAAAAAGGCTTTTTCTCCTCTGTTTTGATATATTCATGTCCTGACTTCTCCAATTGACAAAATTTCTTCTTTCCTGATTAGAGGGAAATGGAATGTAGTTACCAGTTATGCAAAGACAAATTCCCAGCTGAGCCAGTGGCAATATGAAGATCATGAATGATACTACCAAATTTGATATTATATTGTTATTTGCCACTCATAATAAGTATTTGTGGGATAGTAAAAAGAACAATATTAACCTGAACAATGGAAAACAATTGCAGACCTCTGAAATGAGAGACAGCATGAGAACTCTGCTAATACTAGGTGATGCACAGCAATGTACACTACAAAGGCTTCAAATTACTTCCAGTAGGAATTGCTGGTTTTCTCCCTTCTCAGCTGTATTTGGAATGGTGTGATGGCCAATTGCTATTTCATCTTCTGTTTTAAGATTATACACATGCATATTAGGGAAAAAATTATGTAAGATGTATTCATCATTAAGTCTGTTCTTAAAACGTCTGGATAAACTTAAAGAGTAAATCTTATGTCTGAACGAAGCTACAGTGAAAGGATTAGATCCAGTGATTCTTCATCACCTGAATATTTCTTTACTTTTGTAGCAGTTGTGTATAGATTGCTGTATCCAAACAAAATATTTAAAATGAAATATTTGGCTGGTTTGGGGATTTTTTTGTAATACTTAACCAAAGCAGCTTACAGTTCTTTAATAACTTCCAAGTAGCTTTCAGATTTTTTTAATGGTCAGTACTTTTCAGGGTGCAAGTTGATTTAGTCACATGCTGTACCCCAGGGTCATCAAAAATAAGTGATCAAAGTAGCAGTAGGACAGTTTATACTTTTAGAGAAACCACTGAAACCGAAATGGAGCGTTAGTGATATTCCAAGAAGACAGTTTAGAAATAATGAACTTAGATTGCTGCATGTATGTGTTTGAATACTGTGATTAGTCACCAGAGCTTTCTTATCAGTCTGATTAGTTTTGATATTTCCATATCACACATAGATGGAAATCAAATGGCTTCCTCAGAAATACAGAATATGACATAAAAGGATCCATCAGTGCTCCAGCTCTACCCTCCCTTTCCTTTTAAACAGTGCACTGCACTAGGAACAGGCTGTTTGTTACTCTAAATCTACAGATTTAGTTGACTACTTTGACTACAGCTGTTTCTGCTCTTGTGTTGTTGAATTAACCCAGGACAAAGCACAAATACAATCAGTTCCTCCACTTTATTGCTCCACTTTGCTTTTGAGTTGTTTTCTCCTCAACTTGTTCAAGTTTTGTTCTAAGCCACTCCTTTTCTTTACCCCCCTATTCCCCTTCTTTTTTCCTTTTCCTGATGTAAAATTTGGTGATGTCTAGTAGTTTTCATCACTTAAAAATATATATATATATATATCTGCCAAACCCTTCCCCACAATTTCATGCTGCTTTCAAGGTTTGCTTTTTCTATACCCTCAACTTGTTCCCTATTGGCCTTTTATATATTTCTGTGATTTTTCTCATATGCTGCTGCTTCTTTCCAGAACCATTCCTCTGTTGTTTTGGTAAGTGTTTGGTTGGTTGTTTTCCCAATTGGCAGCTTGCTTATTCTCCTGAGTTCTGAAGTACATCTACTCAGTTCATGTGACATAACTGATCTTCAGTATCTACCTGCCATGTGTCTCTCCACTGTTGTGCCTATAATGCCTGCTGATTTCTGTCCGTGGAGGTGGGATTAACACTGACTACCAGTTGAAAAAGAAACTCACAATTTAACAAAATCTTTCTCTTGCTCCTTTGTTATTGTTGGACCCATGAGAAAAGCTTTTGATCTTCACATTTTAGACTTTCCCTCCCCTTCACAATCACTGTTGTCTCCTGCTTTGTCTCATTTCTACCTACCCCCAATTTATCCAAAATGATGTTGCTGTTTTATTACCACCATCTTGAGAGAAAAGGCCAGTGAAAGCATAAGCAATGCAGCCCTGATGAGGAACACGCATGCCACAGTCTTAATTACTAATTTCTAGTCCATTCTGTGCACTGTGTTAGTTCCTTTTTTGCACAAATTACACCAGAAAACAAAGCAATGAAAATTATTTTATCATGACCTCTTATTTTCCATGAACAATTGCTAAGGAGGTTAGTGATCTCTTAAATTCTGGTTACCAAACAGATCACCTTCAAATTTCTGTTGAATACCAACTATTCTTTAAATAATTCTTTTTTAGACTGCTGTCCTCCGTTTTCTTTTCATCTTGGATTGCAACTCCATTGGACACTTTCTACTTATTGTAAAGTGGTATTAAATATTTCTTATGGTATTAAAAATTCTGTAAAATGTGCTCTTCTTAAACTTTAATTTTTATGTCTTGAGGGCTCCAAAGCCTTGGTTGAAAACCAAATGGATAGTGCAATAATTACTAGCTGCTAGCTGCATTGAAAAATTAGCCCCCACAGATGAAATACATTTAATGGTGATAAGGTTGTAGAGGTATAAAACACCTCTGTTTGCTCCTTTAACAGTCTTCCTATGGAAAAGAGCCTGGGCATAAGCACATCCACAAAAGTGTCTTTAGTGCTTGGGAGTGGCAGACCTGGTACGGGTTTCCCCCCACTTCTCTTTCTTACAGCCTTTTCTCTGGCCTTTCCTAAGTTCTAACACCAAGGTGCAAGTGTTCAAAATAGTGACAAAAGATTTGAGATTTCATTTTATTAAAGCATGTCCATGTGCAGTGCTTTATTATGAAAGAATGCAACAATCTTTTGAAATTAACCCTTCTGGATATTTTACAAGCCCAGCTGGGGACTTCCAAATACAACTATTAAATGGCAGACATTTTCTCCTTTGTAAAAAAAGTAACAATTCCTTCCTAACGAATTAATATACAACTTGTCTCCTCTTACAAATACAGCAGTGATTAGTCTGTGACCAGTTGAATTCATACAAAATTTAAGTGTCATAGAATCATAGAATAGTTAGGGTTGGAAAGGACCTTAAGATCATCTAGTTCCACCCCCCCTGCCATGGGCACGGACACCACACACTAAACCATGTCGCCCAAGGCACTGTCCAACCTGACCTTGAACACTGCCAGGGACGGAGCATTTACTGCTTCTTTAGGCAACCTGTTCCAGTGCCTCACCATCCTCACAGTAAAGAACTTCTTTATATCTAACCTGAACTTCCCCTGTTTACGTTTAAATCCATTACCCCTTGTCCTATCACTACAGTCCCTGATGAAGAGTCCCTCTTCAGCGTCCTTGTAGGCCCCCTTCAGATATTGGAAGGCTGCTATAAGGTCTCCATGCAGCCTTCTCTCTTCCAGGGTGAACAGCCCCAAACTTTCTCAGCCTGTCTTCATATGGGAGGTGCTCCAGCCCCTTCTCATTCTCATGGCCCTCCTCTGTACTTGCTCCAACAGCTCCATGCCCTCCTTATGTTGAGGACACCATGTGTTGTCATAACTTGTATAACCTAACTAATTTCAACATCCTTGTCATAGTATTTTGGTTTAGTTAAAATACATTTACGTGACAAAAACTTGTTAATTAAAATATAATCTGCCAATCTTTGTTGCTACATCTTGTTTTCTGAACTTAACCACTGATTTTTCTGGCAGTGTCTCTCCATGGTGACAGCTGCTGCAGTATCTTGTAGTCATTGTCCTCTTCTCCTTCCTTCTGTGCCATCTCCATGCCCTTTTCCTCATAATAAATGAATTTATTTAAAGAATTGTTATTTTAATGATTGAAAGCCTAGTAAAATATTGCCTGTAAGGTTAAGATATAAATAGAACCCAAAATGAATTGAGAGACCATGAGGAAGTTTGCCCTTCATAAAAGGAGAATAGATGCATGTTAAAATGATGAAGGAACCACCATATTTGGTGAATAGTTTAGAAGTTAACAGTTTGAAAGAACAAAGTGGGGTATGAAGGCTATTTTTAAGGCAACACTATCCTCTTCAAGAGGACAAGGTAGTGTTTTCTAAAACCTTTTAGAAAAAAAAAGTAACGAAGAAATAAAGCAAGTAAGTTTGTCAGAGGCAACCTCCTGGTTTCTCTCAAGTCAGCAAGGGAAGACTCTCATCTGATTTTGGCAGATACGTTCTTTTGCCTTAAGAAGTACTAAAAATAGTCTGAAAAATGACTTACAGGAAGCTAACCATAAGGGGAAAATTTCTCAAGGCAGTAGACCAACTAGGAAGGCTTACTCTTTGTCACCCCTTACTTTGGTATCCTAGATACATAGAACATAAAAATTAAAAAGCCAGAAACTGAAAACAGGAATGTGAAGCCAGAGTAACTTGAATGCAACTGTGTCTTTTGGGGTGGTGATATATGGTAGGAAGTGCTGACCCCTGTTATATACCCCCTCTATACCTTGTCCTGAAAGTTGTCACTCTTTCAGCAGAGATGGTTAAAGACCTTCTGAACTGCTGTGGTTTACAGCCTGATATGTTAGCATAAACTGACATCCCTGTTAGTTTATCTTAATATGCTGGTCTGTAAACTGCAGCTGAGTCATGAGCCTGTTGAGCTGTTCCTGCTGGGAAGGCAGTGCTTTCTGAGGGGTAGTAAAGCAGACAACGGGGGTCAGTATAAGCTTCAGCAATGCTGTCTCAATCCACTGTTGAGTATATCAACATGCCAGCTGCAACAAAAAGTTCTGAGAAAGCCTCCTTACTGACTCACCACAGGAAAAATCAACTCCACAGTAGCGGTTTAATTCATACGTGACTGTGTCATTACTCCACCGATGAAATCAGTTAATCAGAGAGTCAATTTCTTTTATTAGTTGGAGAGACTGAATCAGCAAAGGTGATGTTGGTTAATTTGGGGCTTGTTCCTATAAAAAGAAGCTTTGCGAAAGAAGTGGTAGTAGGGGACTGTTGTCGCAGATGGCTTTGAGCTGGTGTGGTGTAAACTGGGCTGTGCTTAACACACATGCTCCAGCAACTGGGCTATATTGGGACCTTTCCTGGGAACTGAACCTGTATGTGACAAGGCAGGTTTTGAGCTATGCATTTCTTGGAACTGTGTAAGTTTCGTATTTATAAGGCTCAACTGCTCCACAATGCATTAATGTAAATAGGGATCTGTGAAATGAGATAAATTAATAGATGTGATGTAAATTATGAAGAAATGTAAACATCACTTAAAGCAGACACAAGGTAAAATTACACATTTAAAAATACTTAAGTGTAAGATATGTTGAGATGCCTGGATGTTTGCAATAATATCTTAATGTTATTAGTGATGGTGATGCAAGAAATGGCAGTCTTCACAACAAACAGTCTAGAAATGTAAATACTCAGAAGTAATACCATCCTTAGTTGCACAGCTATCTATAGATACAACATTCCAAAGGACAAAAAATGAACCCAAACTATAATGCTATATTAATTCATAATGAGCTAAAGTCTGGATTTCTTCATCAGTACTGCTGCTACTTCTTGTGCTCTGTATTAAGATGCAGTTCACTGTTGTTTTTTTTTTCCTTAAAGAATATGTGAAAAGAGTTTCACAAAATATTTAGCTGAGTAACTTCTCATAGCTATCAAAATGCAAACTTTATATTGGAATCATCTGGGCCTGGCTAATACTGCTGTGATTTAGTAGCTGAAAACAATAGAACCAATTCAGCTGACAAGACACATTCAACAGTTTTCAGTGAGATGTCATGATATCCATGTTGTCTAACAGTGGCCAATGCTGCTTTCCTGGTCAACGTGACATGAGATGAATTTTAAGTATTGATTTGGCTCAAATTTGAGCAAGAACACAATGCATGCAATAAAAAAGTATTTATTAAATGTAGAATTTAATAATCAGTGCTTAGTGTGTGTATTAAGTATATTATTTCCCAGTGTATGTGTTAAATATGTATTACTCCACTGTGTTTCAGTGTTCAAAAGAATCCTGAAACAAAAGAAATAAGCATTATTTCCACAGTCTTCAGAGTGTCTGCATATGTAAGTATTAATAATTTTTGATACAAGACTTTACTGGAAGTAACATGCATAACATGAAAATACACAAAGAAATCATAATATTCCATATTTAAGGGATATTTTTCCATAGTTGTTATTTTTTATTCATTAACTCTTTCCCTGATCCCATCCTGTTTTTGCATCCTCTTTACTAACTTTTCATCAATAGCCACTAACTAAGGTTTTATTTGGTAGCTCACTAAATATAGGTTTACCGGATTACACTAGAAGTTGTAATAGTCACCCATAAACTAGTTTGTGAAAAAAAGACCCCAAAAGATCTGAGTAATTCTGAGTTTAGATCTACTTGAGATAGCAGTAAGGATTAAGAATCCACTCTTGACTTCGTATAGTTCTGTTTTTAGGAATTTTGCTAGAGCTTTCCAAATAGCTTGTGTCGCATCTCATCTGTTTCTGTAAAGACCTCAGGGAAGCTTAGCATGCAGCAAGGCTGGGGTTGTGAGACACTGCTCACCTCTTGTTCCCTCCCTTGTCAAGTCTCATTCCTATCTGTTTCTCTTGCAAAATCATACATTTACCATCAAGGTAAGTCTGAGAAATGGCTGCATGTTTACTAGATTCAGCGTATCTGTCATTTAAGCATTACAGTAGGATGAACTCCTCCAAATTCTTCTTGAGTAACCAGAGTATGTAATAATTAAATGTCAGATAATGGTACCTGCTTTCAAAAGAACTAGCTGATGTCATTTCAGACTGCACAGACTTCCCTGTAAGCTGTCAACAGCCCAGTTGTTCACCTGTGGGTCATGGTCTGTTAAGTTTTATGTGTGATTCATAAAAGGCTTTTGAAAGGTTTTTGAAAGTAAGTACTTTATGGAAGTAGCAAAATTTGCCTTTCTTCTAGGTTGCAGACTGTAATAAAAACAAAATAAGAAAGCAAAACACTGGTAACTTGGTGGTCTTCTATTACTACGGTTTTCTCCCCATCTCTGAATCAAATGTATTGATGTGAACTTCACAGATTTTTATGCTGAGGTAGATGAATGGTATTTTTCGAGAGTTTCCCTAACTGTCTTTGCCATACATTAAAAATCATCAGTATGATGAGAAAATAAAAGATAAAAAAAAAAAAAAAAAGAAGGGAAAGGAGGAGAAAAAGAAGGAAAAAAAAAAAGGATAAGGAGGAGAGAGGATAGGACAGAGAAAAGAGAGAGAAAAGACAGACTTTGGCAACTTTTTGAAACAAAACCATGGATGGACAACAGAAAATCCAGTGTAAATCCAGAGCAGGCTCTCCTCCTTGTAGCCCTTGGGGAAAACTTGGGCTTTTCTGCACATTCTGAAAAATTGTGAGATAAAGGAGAGTTGTGAAATTCTGGTTTCCATTAAGGAACATCCTGGAATTTTCTCTCAGAACAGAGAAAGGCTTAAAAGGGTATGTCTAGATTATGTGATAGCTATGTGGACCAAAGTTTCTTAAACGCTACTTGGAAATTACAGGAAGGGCAGCTACTGGAGCACAGATGTGATGCTTCTGATGAAAAGTAGGTTTAGCTTTTGGCTTCTGGTAAATAACTGTAGAGTGTGTTATTATAATGTGAATGTTAATATGACCATTTTTAAAATGGCTTATTGTCTTGGTTTGTATCTGAAATAAATGGTCATGCCCTCTTAGTCTGATAGAAATAATAAAAAGCTCTTCTGGTCAAAGTGACTTGAGCTGCTGAGAAACCAGAACACACATTTTTCCAAGCTGGATTGATTAGTGGACAAATATATATACTTGCATATTTGCACAAGTACAAATGGAACTGGAGATTAAGAACTGTATGTAACACAATCCTGACACCATCCCTTCCTTTTTATTTTGTTCTTAAGCTGTGGCTAAGAAGCCCTTGTTTTGGAAACAATATCTAAAAAAGGCTGCTATAGAGATGTAAATATTTCCACGTGTTAAGGTGTAATTATACATGTCTGCAGATCCATTTAGCATCACAACCAGATAGACCTGAGCATCACAAGAGAAAGAGTTTTAAATCTTGTGTCCAAGTACTCTGTGGAACTCCAAATACCCCTGAGAGCTTTGGGGCTTGCATATAATGAGAGTTTCTTGAAATGCCTCATCACCAGAACCCAAACTGACATCGGTCAATTCCGTAAGGACTGCAGGAATTGGATCTTCAGTAGCAATGGGAAAATGTTTAACTAGCAACCACATCTTGACATTGGTCTTCTCTTGCTCCTTTTCCAGTCTTGTGCAAGAGCTTAGGTTAGTTATGGATCAAGGCCCAAAGGCATTGTGATGCTGACTACTGTAAAACCTTGCAGCTTGCTCTCCTTACTGCACTTGAGAATCCACTGGTTGGTTTACATGTATCTCTAGAAAACACCTGAAGAGAGCCAGGCATCTTAAAATTGGAGCTACAGAGCTAGTATGCTGTGTTGCTTAAAACCAGCATGCTATTTCTAGCTTGCAGCATTTGACTACCATCAGAACGTGTGAGATGTGCCTCTAATCTGGAATAGTCATTGATCTGGGAGTTCCAACTGTTCCTGGAGAAAATGGACAATATATGCAATATAGCTATTTCCCTCAGGTGGAAAAGTGGAGCAGAACTTGTATTTTTTCAACTGCTGTATGAAGGTGCTGGGGAGCAGGAGGAGATACTCATGTTCTAAATTAAAGGAGGTGTCAGCCACGCATTTGTTGATCTTTCAGATGTTCAATTACCAGACTAAATGTAAACCCTCCAAAATTCCCCCCATATAGTTACTGGATCCCGACTGGATTAGGAGCATGTGTCAAGCTGTGCTGCCCTATCAATGCTGAAGCTTTTATTGACACGTGCAGATGTAGGGTATGAAACTAAAGAGCCCAGTTCTTGCTTTGGTTGTCAGCTCAACATGGTCTTTCAGAATAAGGATTTGTGAGCGAGGTGCTGTGCCTAGACTCCCTCCAGACCCCTTTCGAGGACTGACATACAGAATGTTTTTAGTAAAGGTTCAGAGTTGTAAGAGCTGTAATGAGGGCTTTCCTTAAACACAAACATTTGAAACTGAACAGATGCAGTAGCGAATGTTCAGTGAAAAAGAATTACTCATAGACTCATAGAATGGTTTGGGTTGGAAGTGACCTTAAAGCTCATGCAGTTCCAACCCTCTGCCACGGGCAGGGACACGTTGCACTAGACCAGGTTGCTCCGACCCCCGTCCAACCTGACCTTGAACACTGCCAGGGATGGGGCAGTCACAGCTTCTCTGGGCAAACCTGTGCCAGTGTCTCACCACCCTCACAGTGAAGAATTTCTTCCTGATGCCTAATCTGAATCTACCCTCTGTCAGTTTAAAGCCAGCTTTACAGGTTTTTTTTTCAGCTTATAGAGCAGCTTTATGTATTGAGCTCCTAAATCTGTTTCTTTTTAAAAGGAAATACGACTGGATCATTATATCATCTGTATTTCAGGCTCTAACTGTGTAAACACATACTTACATGTTTAATTTTACATTTTAATTTTACATTTTATATTAATTTTACATTTACCTCAAGGTAACTGGAACTGTTTAGACAGAGCAACTGTGCACTTTGTAGTGCCAAGATCCTCATGGAGGCCTAATACTGCTGAAATAAACCATGGTGTATTTATTTTATTCTGCCATGAAATATAACGTTTCAATTGGAACAAAATGACAATTTCAGTCAGATTTTATGAGCTTCTCATGGGTATCCACGTTGTCACTAATACTGTGGTTTTTTTCCACTCCCTCTCAGGACATTAATGGCCTGTGTTACCCTTCAAGCAAAAGCCACAATCAGACTTTTGCGTACCTGGTTGTGGACTCCTGCAAGCGGCACGTGAACACTCTGTATCACAGCTTCGGTGGAGGCTTGTTTACGGACTAGTTACAAACCCGACTGTCCTCTGGTGTTACAGTGGAGTGGCCTCCTCTCTGCACAGGTGCAAGTAGGAACTGCCCAGTTGTCTTGCGAAGAGCGCCCGCTCCTCAGTAACACGCTCTGAAGTAACACGTTCACGTAGATGTGACTATGGTTAGTGATAAAAGGTTCTCTGTATTTAAGCAGTAGCATAGTTCTTGAAGCTGTTTTCTCGGCAGCTTTGTCACATCCCCGTTCACCTCTGATTAAATAAAAGCTTCTTCTGTAGATGTCTCGTCCCTTCGTGACCCAGGTTTTCAGATCAAGACGCACAAATGCAGAGAGAGGCTCCAGAGCCAGTGAAATCCCCGATGAAAGTCTGTCAGACGGCCATCCATCCATCCATCATCTATCCATCCATCCCTCCATCCCTCTTTCCCTGCCTGCCGTCCCTAGCCCCCAGCCCACGCTCCATCCCGCGCAGTAGCAGCGGCAGAAGCCCTGTGACGCACCCCGCCGCCGCCGCCAGGTGAGGCGGGGACGGAGGGCTGCCAGGCAGGGTCTGGCCTCCCTTGGGTGTGCTAAAGGCCGGCCCCAGCGGCCGCTCTCGCTGCGGAGGAAGCCCCAGAGCGGGGATCCCGGCTCGAAGCCCACCCTCCCGCTGCGGTCCGGACGCGCGGTCGGGAGCAGCCCGTGCGCAGCGGCGGGTCGCGGGCTGGCGCGGGGCGGGATCCTGGAAGTTGGGATAGAAGTTCGGGAAAGGAAAATAAAAGTTCTGGTTGGCGGCACCACTCCGTGGCGGCGGAGGGCGGGCGGGCCTCAAAGAGGGGTGCTGGGGAGACGGACGAGCGCGTGCGTAAGGCGGCTTTGGCGTGCCCGCGGTTCGGGGGTTGAGGGGGCGGGCAGCGCCGGACGGCCCCCTGGCGGGAGGCGGTGCGGGCGGGCGCGCATAGGAGGGCTGAGCCCGTGCCGGGCTGCCTCGGTCGGATACGGTGCGGGCGGGCTCAGGAGGGGCGGAGCCGGCGGCGGAGAGTGATTCGGGCGGGCGTAACTCCGAACTTTTGTTTGGTGTGTTGTGCGAGTTAGTTTCCGCCGCCGGGACAGAGGCGCCGGCCGGGCTGGGCCGCACTCGGGAAAGAGCCGCACGCTGAGAGTTGTTTTGCCAGTTGCTGCGGCTGGGTCGGTTTCCCTGCCGAGGGGCGAGAAGCACCGACCACAGCAAGGACGAGACGCGGCCCAGGGAGCGGGGCATGCGGGGCCGGGAATCCGGGCTCTGAGCCGCCGAGCCCCGCCAGGAAAGCGCCGGGGGGTCCCGACGGAGCCATGGATCCCGGGCAGCCTCAACAGCAGCAGCCGCCGCAGGCATCGCAGCCCCCGGCCTCGCAGCAGGCACCGCCGCAGCCACCGGGCGCGGTGTCGGGGGCCCCGTCCGGCGCGGCGCAGCCCCCAGGCGCCGGCCCCCCCCCGGCGGGACACCAGATCGTACATGTGCGGGGCGACTCGGAGACCGACTTAGAGGCGCTGTTCAACGCCGTGATGAACCCCAAGGGCGCCAACGTGCCGCACACGCTGCCCATGCGGCTTCGGAAGCTGCCCGACTCCTTCTTCAAGCCGCCCGAGCCCAAGGCCCACTCCCGCCAGGTGAGGGGGGGGGGGTGGCCTGTCCGTGCGATCGCTCTCCTCGCCGCCGCCGCGCTCCTCCCGGGGGAGGCTTGTGGGGGAGGGGGGCCGGGGCGGGAATCCGCCCTCTGCGGGGCTGCGCGGGGCGGGGGGCGCCCGACGGGGCGCTCGCTGCCGCGCTTCCTCCCTCGCCCTGAGGGTAGCCCGTCCTCCTCCTCCTCCCTACCCTCCGTGTGGCCCCTCGCCGCCCGCGCCTCAGGACGCTGAGGGGGAGCCGGCGGCCGCGGGCCCCAGCCCGGTCTCCGGCGGGACCTCGGACTCCACATCCGCTCCGTGGCGAGACCCGGCTGCTCTCCCGGCCGGTCCGGGGAGGCGGCGGTGGGGGAGCCCCTAAAACTGAAGTGAAAGCTCTTAGCTCGGAAGAGGGGGAGGGTTTCGCTGTGAGGTCCGAGTCTCCCGCGGCGCGGGGCGGCCCGTCTGTTCAGGAGGGTAACGCGGTTGTGCCAAACTTCTACACCCCCCCCCCCTCCCAGCGCCGTCAAACAATATGGATGGAGTTGTGCCACCATTTCATCGCTGTGTTGGGCTGAGTGGGATCAAACCCCCCAACACACACGTTAACTTAAGGAGTTAACTCCCGAGCGGCCCGTCAAATCCGACGGCGTAGGGGTCTGCATCCTGAGCAGCAGCGGCCCTGAAGTCTGCGGCCGGGAGCGGCGGGGCCGGGACGGGGGGTGGGGGGCCGGGCCCAGGGGAAGGCGGGGGAAGGGGGGATGCGGGGCCGCGCCGGGGCTCGGCCTCCGGGAGCGTTTGGTCTTCGACTGACTTTTGCGCCCAGACCGAAGTGTTGGTGCGAGTGCGACTGAGAGTTAATGTTTAGGCTGCAGTTACCGACTTTTTGGAAGGAGGCTGTGCCTACTCGAGTGTTTTATTAAGTAATGAACTTTGTTGCTAAGCTATAAAATACGTTTTATTATTGGCTATTGTCGCTTTGTCTGTGTAGCCAGTAGGAGTGAAACTTGCTCTGTGTACTGGTACCCTTGTTGTTAAGGGTCTGTCAACATTTCCATTATTAAACTTCTGTTTTGAAGGATTTATGACTTGGCTTCTGAAGTTCACTTCAGTCTGAACCTTTGGCACATACTCTCGGCCTAGGAGTTAATTCATTTTCCAAATACTAGAAAAAAATCAGTCTGGCCTTCATATTGCAAGACTGAAAAGAAAATAGAACGGGGTGGGGCTGAGTTGCTCCTGTAGTTTTGTTTGCTTCTGAGTTGCAGGCCTTTAATAGCATACTGAAATCCAGCAAGGAATAAGGTTATTTTGTGTAGGGTCTTTTTTCTTAAGTTGTGCAGCTCTTACCACAGTTCCGTTGTGTACAAATGTGAACTCTGGTATATGTTCAGCTAAGGCTTGGTGCTGTGTCAAATACAGTAACTGTAGTGAAATAGCTATTGTGTTTGAAATGCACTTAATGTGTGTGACATTAATACACCTTGTACTTTTAAGCTTAGCGTTCTCTTGCTTGTGTATGTTTTTCTTCATCTGTAATGCATGTTTAGTTGGATCACTCTGCCTTGTAACAGTTGGTGGTTCCTATAACATAAACTGGAAATTTGGCTAAAGCCAGAGAATAATTTGCTCCACTGTGGACTGTCTTTTAAAATACAACTGTTTTCTTTTTTTTTTTTTTTTGGTTTAGTTGTGCCACAGAAGTATTCTGTTAAACAGAAAAAGTATTTAAGTTTCTGTAGTTCGCCCTGTTTTTCAAGAATTAATATGCCTCAGATTCAGCTGATTTACAACTTGTGTATTTTGTCTAAATGTAAATGTAAGCTAATTCTTTTCCAGTTTAATACATGAAACTTCCCTACAGAATTGTCAGTCTCTGTAGGAATGCAAGTGGGGCCTTACATGGTGCAATACCTTGAGTAGACAGGTGTGGCAAAGGCTGTGATACGTGCATCTTATTATAGGTGTCCATATTGTTCTGGTGTATCTACAAAATTAATTAGTAAATATATAAAGTAAACTCGATATTGATTTAATCCATTTTCAGAGCTGCTTTTTCTGTTTCATGGTACACTACTCGCAGGGAAATTCTGTGTACTTATGGCTGGTAAGTGGTGAATGGTTTTGTGAGTCACTTGTGATTGTGTAAACAGTTTGCTGAACCTCTGCTTTGGTTGACGTATGGACAGACTTTATAAGCTCCCTATACCCTTAAAAGCACAGTTGGTGTGCGGGTTAGGAAATTCTGTCTTCAGTTTTGTGGTATAGGTGATTTATATGGTTGAGTTCAGGAGTCTTCTCTGGTGGATCTCACTGCTGTCAGTTGGCATTTCTTTGTTACTTTTCTCCTTGTGAAACCTTTTAAACCCTTGCAGAGGATGTATGTGTGGGTGCCCTTGACCCCTGTTTCAAAAGGAGAGTTGTGATTGACTCCCCCACCAGGCAGTGAGTGCAATGGAAATGGGTGGTAACGTACCATGCAACGTGCTGTATGAGGTCTGCTGACTTTGGGCAAGCTTTTCTCTTAACCCTGCAACAGGGAGTAAGAACTCCAGTTTTCAAAATAAAACGAAAGACACTTAGCACGTACTTATAGTTAATATTTCTTGACTTACACAAGGGCTTTTGTGATGCTAATTTACAAGCCTACTTAGAGGCTCTCTTCACCAGCAGTAACCGGAAAATAAGTAGAACTTTAGAATGATGAACTTGTGAATTTCTTCTGAAAGGCTCCTTTAAAATGAAATGTCGTCTGACAGCTGCATTTCTGATGAAATATGAGAGTCTTAATGGGAATAATTTCACTCCTGGCAGGCCAGCACTGATGCAGGGACAGCAGGAGCCCTGACCCCACAGCATGTCCGAGCTCATTCCTCTCCAGCATCGCTGCAGCTGGGAGCTGTTTCTCCAGGGACACTTACACCCTCTGGAGTAGTGACTGGACCTGGAGCTCCAGCCTCTCAACATCTCCGCCAGTCTTCATTTGAGATCCCTGATGATGTGCCTTTGCCACCAGGTTGGGAGATGGCTAAGACGCCATCTGGACAGAGATACTTCCTTAAGTAAGTAAAACTTGTCTTCAGTTGGCTGTATCTCTGATGCTTTTTTGTTGGTGGTGACTTTTTTTTGTTACATTTTTTGTTGTTTGTTTTATTTTATAATATTTGAATTTTGGTAGATTTCATTGGGTTTAAAATACATGTTTTGAAAAACACGCGCCTGACTTTAAGTAGGAGATCCTACAACTCCAGTATTCCTCCAAATCGGCTCTCTGCTGTTTCTGAAAACTGTATGGTACTCTGTGAATATTTACCCTATCTTAATCTTAGCTGAAGAATGTTATCTATTGTGTTGTGTGCTAAAAATCAGTGAAATGCACACAGTGATTTTTAAACATTGTGAGTTTTGGATTTGGTGAATCTTGCCAGAGTTGTTACGCAGGTCAAAGTACATTTCACCTCATTTTTGTGATCCAGATGTAAAAATACAGAGTAACTTCAGAAACAATTGTAGTGAGGCTATATCAACTACGTTATTTTTTGAATAAGGACAGTAGTGTAAGTAAGCAACGGAAACGTTTTTCCCTGCTGTCTACTCGTGAGGAAATGAATGTGTATGTTTGATTGCAGTAGTTGGGTCTGTAACTCTGAACTGGTCCACATTCCCTGCAGTGAAGGGGAAATTGCAGAACTTTTAACATCATTTCTTGTTCTAACAGCTGTAGCTTTTTCACATGGTGAAATCAGTATCACCTTTTCTATAACTGAAGAGAAGTTACACATGCCAGCCATCTGACACCTATTCCATCAGGAAGTATTCTGTTTTATGCTGAGTAGTTTTCTAAAACGGCAGGAGCTTGTCCTTCTTTCTGAAAGTGTGCCCACCAAGACATAGAATTGGCCCTCAAATATCTTGACTATATTTTGAACAGTTAATTAAACTGCAAGTCTCTAAATAAACCATTATATATCATTTTCAGGGCCGGGAGAGAGGAGGGTTACCAGAGTGTGTTATTTATATAAAACTTTTCAGCCAAGAGAAACATCTTTATCCCTACCTTTCTTGCTAAAACGTTGTCATTAATACATGCTTTTGATTGCAGTGGTTGGTTGTAGCTTCAAAAACAAAGTTGCAATGAAAATGGAACTTGCACAACTTCTTAAAACTGTTTCTTGTTCCTGTATCAATGGTGTTTCCATACAGAGAAATTAGCATCACTTTTTTTACTAAAAAGAGTTACTATTTGAGCCTGAAGGTTACTTCTTGAAAACAATCATTCTGTATTACGAGTGTGAAAATGAGTGTTAGCTGTAGATCTTAAATATGTGATTTTCTTTTTTTTTTTTTTTTTTTGGTGATGTTGAACAAATTGGCGTATTCTGCAACATGAGCTCTTCAGCGTGCACAAATACAGGTATTTTGGAACCTGTAAGTTTATGCCATTTGAGACCTGTAGCTCACTGGACCTTGAGGAAAGCACAGACTGAGTTTGGAAATGAGAAGCAAGCCTTGGTTTTGACTGCACTAGTGAGAACTCTTAAAAAGCAGCTTATGAAGTGTGAAAAATAGATAGCTGATTTAAAGTTTTACTGTCACAAATATTTGTTTTTGATAACGCTGCTAATTTTACAGGAAGTAGAAGTTTGAGATGCAGAATGACTTCACACTCTTGCAGCAGATTTTTCTTTAAGTTATGCCTATTCAGGTAAAATTAGTGAAAGATACTTTTTTCATTTTCCAGAAAGCTTTTCTGCAGTTTCACTATTACCGCAAAACTCTTTTTAGCCTGCCATGTTTTTTCTCTTTTTTTCGTCCTTTCTTGGTGTCCTGGTATCCATTTCAAAGGGTCGGGTTTCAGAAAGAACAATAAAGAGACTGAGACTGGAAAGTACACACAAGTCTGGCAAACTCATCTGCATGAGCAAGATCGTTTGTTCTCAAGCAGACATCCAGAGTAAATGATTGAAAGAGCTGCTAGCTGTGAAGGATGTGTCTTGATGGGGAAAGGAGTGGAAACAAACCAGGTTGTTAGGAAGAAAAATAAAGGCTGTGCTTTTTGAACCTCTCTCTGCCGGGTCACATGCTGACCTTGGGAGATTATAAACAGTGAAACGGGCTGTTTTCGTTCTGCTTTCGTTGGGTGATACTGTGGGAAGGGAGAGTCTAACAAGGATAGTTCTGAAGGCTCTATTAGCACCTGAAGAACATTTTTTTTGTTCCTAAAAGTTTGCTTACTAGTATCTACAGGTGAGATCCACCAACTTCACTAGTGTTATGAAGATTTGCTGAAAGCATTTCAAGTACTAGCAAAATGTTTGCTTGCATATTTAGGAAATCCAAAGAAATGTAAGAATTATTTTTAAGTAGCAAGTTTGTATTTCAGGAGCTTTTTTCAGTGTTGAGTGGTAAATTCTGTCTCATCTCCACAAGCCTGTTGAAGCTCATATCATGTGTAGTTATACCTTAAACATTTGTTCAGAGCTTGAATGCTGAGATTCCTGATGCTAAATACATTTAATGTGGTTCCTTTTACCATATGCAGATTTTTGGTGTGTCTTCCAAGTATTCAGCTTTTTTTATTGGATTGGCTGCATTGCTCTTTGTTTCCATGTACTCTGTTCTGTAGCCACTCCATGAACAGTCTAGTAATTGGGCTCTAGAAAGATCTTTGCAGAATAGGTAACAGTATTAGATTTTTTCCAGATGTCAGTAAGCCTTATGGTTATAGTTATCATAATATACTATAGTGCAAACAGACTAATATAAAATTGAGTACTGCACTTAATATGGACTGGAATGTAGTCACTTTCACTAATCAATAGGTCAAGGACTGCAAGCATGGTAGTTTGCACAAAGAAATGAAAATAATGCATATAGGAGTAAAAATACTTGTCTGTATATTTATATGCATGCACAGAGTTATTTGGCCAGGTATTTTGTATACACACCACACGTATACATATGCATTACAAAAGGTTGAAACCGTCATCTTGACAAATAGACCCCTCTGTGTGGGAATGCCCAACATATGATTTGCCAGAATTCCAGTCATTAGTGTTCATCTCCTTGTTTTAAGTAGGATTCTGCAGTATAGTTTTCTATTAGTGAAATACAAATGATTTTGGCCAGTGAGTGAAGACACGCTTGCTAAACGATTGGTGAAACCAATACTGTTTTTTACTCAAACTGCTACTTAAACAACTCATAAGCTAAGCCTTGCCTGGTTAGTAAGTGGTCACATCTGAGTCATCTCGGCATTGCTGTGTGAAATGCTTTAGCACTGTTCTTAAACATGCAGTAAAAAAGATGTGCTTGGTTTGTGTGGTGATGTCAACCACATTGCTTTTAACCGCTTCCTGTTAGCCAGCTGCTGGTTGACATTTCAGTGAACTATGGAGAAAGATAGGGGATTGCTCTCTAGGCAAAAGATAATATGCCATGGGAGTAGAAGACAGCAGCTTGCAGAGAGAAAAAAGTTTTGCTCTGTTTTAGAATTACTCTTGTATTGTTTTAACTTCTTGTTATGCTTTTAATTATTACAAAGCTTGTGTGATACTTCTCATTTTGTAGTGTGAGGAGAAGTTAAATGCTTGTCTAGCAAACAAGTCTTGTAATTATTTTTCCTACAGGAAGTAGTTCTTGCAAGCAGTTTATCAACAACTTCCTATTTTTTTCTCTGAAGTGTTGAATGACTTCCTGAAGGAGGCCAAGGTGGTTTTCGTTAGTATCTGTGGGTGTGTTTGAGGTGGTTACCCATCTGGCAGAAACTTTTAAGAATAGATTGTTGTTACATGTTTCTTATGTGCTCCATCAGAGGCATGGCTTTGGATGTTATGCAACCAAATAATTTTAAGATAAGAGGGAAGTTTGTTGCTGTGCCTTTTTTTTCTTCATGTTACACATGAAAAATAACCAGCAACACCATTAGATTTCTCTTGGATCCCCTTTTTGCCCTGGACTAGAACCGCCCACTAACAACACCAATACAATCTGCTCTGTTCATTCTCACCTTACCCCCCAACCCCCCAAAGTAATCTTAAATCTTCCAGGGCTGAAGATACATAGAGGAAAAACTGCTGTCACAGTTGCATATTTTATTGAATACTGGGGAAATGCATGTCTGGAACCATCAGTTCTGAACATCTTATGTTTATGGTTCTACAGTTCAGGCTAGTTTGTCATTAAGAGTTGTATTGTAGGAAACCAAAACTGCAACCACTGCTCTTAGATGAGTTTGTCCACTTTTTTACACTTTTTATACTAAAACGCAGTTGAAGACTTTTCGTTTGTTAAAATTTATTTGTAATGTATCAACTTAATTTCATTTTTATATTGATGATTTCTGTGTGTTTATGAAAACATTCGTAAGATCCATGATCTGGAGGAAAAAAAAGGCCACGAAATTTGTGCAGGGGAAAATGGGCACTGTCAGTTTCAGAATGTAACTGGAGGGAAAATACTAGTTAAACTTTTACAGTAAAACATGCTATAGGAAGTTTTTGGCAACTTCAGGGTTTTTTGTGGGTGGTTTTTTTTTTTTTTTGTCTTGGAAGACAGTACTACTAAGTGCGTATCTTCTACCTCTTACTTTTGAAGAGTCCTGCAAAAGAACAGTTATCTTTAAACAGGCAGAAGAAGAATAAGGGCAAACTTGTCTTGTTTGTGTTAGCACTGAGCCTGAGCTGGGAGGAGGATAAAGTACATAGTCAGCCCTCTGAGTTCAGAAAACTCATAGCCAGCTTAGTGGGTGGGCATCACTGAAAACAATGGCACATGGTGCTTTTCTTGTGTTTGGTTTTGTTTTGCTTAAGAAAAATTGCAGAGGATGATGTCCATGCCTTCAGTACTCTTCTGCCATACAAGGTGATTTTATAAGACTATTGCAGCAGCAGTTTAATAGATGTGGTTTAAGGTAGGCCGAAAACATGCTGAATTTTACTTGTAAGCATATTGACATTCCTTATCGCTGAGGATTTTATTTTATTTTTTTAAAATCAGCTGGTAATCTGCACCTTTCTTCCTCCTACAGGTTTGGCCTTTCAGTATCTCTCTCATAAAATAA